AAAGTTTATAGTATTGAATCAACTTCATCACAATATTAATCGTCAACTCAAGCCGTTGACAGACCTTTATCGTATTTTGTGTCATAACCGTTCAAGGCAGCGTCGCAATTTGTGTAAAGTTTTGAATGATTGGGATTTGTTACAAGAAGAAGTAAGTACGTTGCTATACATTATCATTTGTTTATATAAAATATATATTTTATTTATTTATATTTAAAAATCATTAGGCAGAACATATTGACAAGGAATTACAGAAATTAACCCATGAGGAACCTATTATGACAGATGTATTTATAAATTTAAATTTCATTTCATTTAGGAGTCAGTCACAGATTTTTTGTAGTCGTCGACTGATTATAATCGATTCTAAAATAATAATTAACTTTATTAAACATATAGGAAGGTGATTCTTACTCCTTTCATTTGTCATCCTGGGTTTATCATACAAAATTGGAGTTACTAGAAGACATATTCTTTCTTGGATTTGAACTGGAATTGTATGGAACTCATGAATTTGTGATGATATATTGGTTAGTAAATCATATACCTGTAATCATATTTTATATTAATTATTAAGCTCATATAACCAATTTTTGTAGGTATATTGATTACTTATTGGGTGTTCATTATCAGCATTTAGAGAGAACTCACATGCACATTACTGGTACCTTATTTAATGTGAAATTTCGGAGTTAACTAAAGTTCGTTATTAAAAAAATCTTTTTTTTTTTTTTTTTTTTTTTTTTTTAATATTTTAGATATAAAATATAAGGATCAACATGGAAGTTATCGATCAACATCATCACCAGCATCTTCTGTATCCCTACTGGTTAGCCAACAAATGATGATGATGGCAAAACAAGATATATGTCGAGGGATCCATAGGGTAATTTATTATAATAATTTGGATATATTATATATTTTTTAAAACGTAAACTAATGCTTATTATTTATTCCTTTAAAAAAAAAGACCATATCAGCACTTCAGAAAACTGGACACGTAATATCTCCACAGCTTGAGTTTGATGATGAAAGTACTAGATTTTTGCATAGATTCAGAATTTGCAGAACGTTGGGTAGTCCAACAATACTGTCATACAAGGATTTCAAGGAGATGACACAGTTTGATAACGTTACGGTATGAATAGATTTTGAAAATTAAGTTTTTTATCACAATAGAAATAAATTAAATTTAGATTGTAAATTCCGTTTTTTAGGCATTAGAGCTTATCAATGCATCTTTGCAAAACTTTCAGGCAGCTAGATCTTCGATAGAGAGTTTGTTAGCAATGGAACCTTTGGAATTAAAGATGGATTTTTGTCATGTTAATTTTACAAAGGTAAAATAATTATTTATATTATATTTATATTTATCATGTATTTAATGCTTTGTTTTCTGATCTTAGGAATTACGAGATATGCTACGTGTATGTATTGCAAATATTGTAAATTTGCATAAAATTATTGAAGAATATAAACCAATGCTTGATCCAAATAATGCTAAAGAAAGTGATATCATTACGACTAGTAAACCCATACTTGATCCGAATAACGATCAAGAAAGTAGTGATACCACGACTAGTCGTAAACAGCAAAAGAAGAAACAAAAAAGTAAGAAACCATTGCGAAAGGATAATAAAATAGTAAATTTTGAATTTAAGTATCATCCTTGGTACACAGTAATTACATTAAAATAATTTAAATAAAGATGTTAAGATTATTTATGCAAGGAAAAAAAAATACACAATGAAATAAATATTTATATGTTGAAATCTATAAAATCTATATTCAAGATAGTTCCTTTGTTGCCAAAAAAAAGATAAATGGTTTACTTAATTTCCCCCTGGATTGTAAAATAATAAGAAATTAAGAAAAATATGGCTATAATAATCAATTGACCATGTTTCTTGATAGAAAAAACGCGACGTGACCTGTTGCGTATTTGACTATCAACACTAGCACGTCTTAAATATGAAATAACTTCTTGATCGTCATCAAATCCATCAAGATCATCATCATCATCATCGTCATCCAAACGATTATATTCATTTCTTAATTTTCCAAATCTTTCATATAAACCATTAGGCCATTTCTCTGGTATTAAATTCCAAGTATAAAAAGTTTCCAAATTTACAAGACGTTTTTCAATAAGATCTAAAGATAATTTTCTATTATTAAGTAAATCACCATTTAAACATAATCTAATTAATCCTGGAGAATACATAGCTAAACATCTAATAACGTCATCTGTAATATAACTTGATTCAAGGGATAATAAATTGTTTTTACAGAGAACAATCAAATTCATGAGTTCTCGTTCATGTTTATATCGAGAAGGTAAATGATTTAACAAGTTTGTTAATTTTAACCTTATTAAAAATATTAATAACAATAATAATGGAAAATTTAAAATTTAATAAGCTTTAAAAAAAATGAACAAAATAAAACCAACTTACCATAAAGGTCGAGATCTATAATGAACAGCAATTAAAGGTAATAGATTAGCAGTAAAGTACAAATCAAGCCCTGAAATATCCAACTTTTCTAAATTAGGGGTGCCGATTAACATTCGTTTCCAACCAGCAGGAGTAAAATATTCTGTAACAGGAGAGTTACATTCTGAAATGAAAGAGAGTGATTTTAAAGTATTTGAAAGATCACATAAACCTTTCAAAGTAGCATCAGTTATTTCAATATTATCATCTAAATATTTTCTTTCTAAAACCAATTCTTGTAAATTAGGACAATTATTAAATAATTCTAATACCCAAACATCAGATAAACCTTCAAAAGATAAACGAGCCCTTGTAATTTGGGAACCATATATTTCAGTATAATGATTTAATGACCAAACTGATTGAATTACTGCATGTACCAATAGACCTAAATCCGATGAATCCAAAAAAGTAATTAATTGAGCGGAACATGTTAATTTTAAAGATTTGGATCTATATCTATAAAGACTTTGACTAAAGCAGGGTGCATTAATTTCTAATAGTCCGGGTTTTTGTTCTAACACAATAATATTAAAATTTTCGAGGCGATCACAGTAATCGTCTAATATTTTTAATAAAGCGGCCAGTTGATCTATAAATTCTTGAGAAGCTCGACCTTGAACGTTCAAAGTTCTAAAATGTTGACCATATTTTGGTACTAGTTTTTGTAAAAAGAAACGTGAAATATTGTAAACAACTACAGTTTTGAAAAGATAGTTGGGGGTAAGAGAATGTAAGGAACGACTAGTAAGTGAAAGTTGTTTAAGATGTGCAGAACCAAGAAAGGAAATAATTTGAAGGAGTGTTTCAGTAGGAAGTGAAAAGAGAGATAACCTTGGTTTTGTCATCGTATAGCTTTTTTATTATTATTATTATTATAATTATTTTTAAATATTGTAATGTATACGTATATATATATTATATGTGTTGTAGCTGTTTATGAAATGAATTTCCACTAATTAACACACAAGCCACACGTGAAATCATTTATAATGTAATTTTAAATTATTTTTTTTTACCGTTCGAGGATATTATTTTCAAAATCATGCCTGATAATAGGTATTTTTATAAAATTCTTTAAAATGTTTATTATCGCAATTTACGCGTAAAATCATCATTATTTTTCTCTTCTTAGTATATTAAATTCAAATCCTAAGGAACAAGAACAACGACTTTTTAGCAACCACGAAACTCAAATTCTCTATGAATTTCGTGGTATATTGAACTCGGTCGAATCAATGTAATTATTTTTATTTACGCGTGTAACGGAGAAATTTCGCGTAGTGAATTTTTTTTTTAATAAATAATGTAGAAATCGAACCATATCAGGTGCAATTAAATTAACTTCACCAGGTGGAGAACTTTATGACGCACAAAGGCGCGCAAATGTCGGTCTGAATCACTTCAAGAAATTAATGGAAACAACAATTAAAAAATGATTCAATGTATATAAACTTCTACAAATTTTATTCTTAATGAACAATTTAATTAAGATTTGTTCCAAAATGCTACAAGTTAATAATAAATGAAAGTTAATAATAGAAATTTATAAATATCATCCTTCCTTGAAATTATTTATCTTGTAACTTACTAGGTATTTGGTCACCAGGAATAAATATTTTATCTACACCTGCCTCAGTAACAGTGGCTATTCGAATACATCCACCTGAAGATCCGTCTCTTGAAATCGATAATGCGATACCTAGATAACGAAAAATATTAAAAGAATATTCTACCAAAAATAAATTAAATTTTTTTTTTTTTTTTTTACCATTTTTGACAAAGTCTACAGCTTCTTGTTGAGTCATATTCTCTCTGAAATTTTTATCACAATAACCGTATACATACGTTGAGCCACTTCCAGCAGTCGCAAATGGTTGTTTATGCAAAGATCCTCCTAAAGGAATACAATATACTGAACCGCCTTCGTATTTGTCCCATCCTGCAACAATAATACCAGCTGACAAAGCATTTTTATTCTGATAACATATATCGTGGAATAAAGCTGCTGCAGTCCGAATTGTTGGATCTTCTCCAAAATTTACACTTTTATTATTAGATTGAAATCATTTAGTATGCTTTTTCTATTAACGTGTAAATCGAATGTACATTACCTCGATTCTAAATATACTTACGAGTACATCTCTGAATACAAACGGACGATATCTGCGATCGCTTGTGTGTCTGCTGCACTACCGGAACGACAAGCGAAAATTCTATCATGGATTGGTGTCAATTTGTCAGTTACTCTATTGACAATGTAGGGTCCGCTTGT